ACCAATCAATTGCCACCCACCAATTGCCACCAACAAGCTTCCACTGCCACCGGTGTGATTTGCGTGGCAGGCGTGTACTTCCTGGGGTCGCTTGGTCGCCGCAGCTTTTTTGGTGTAATTTGCGTGGCAGGTGCGGTACTTGGTGCTCTCCAAGGGGTCAGATGTAGTCGTTGGTCGCCGCAGCTTTGCCGGTGTGATTTGCGTGGCAGGCGCGGTACTTGGTGCTCTCCAGGGGGTCGGATGTACGCCTTGGGGTCGGTCTCTCAGTCATTTATCGTGGAATGGGTGGCGACCAATTCCGGGTTGCAGCGCCTTGCGCACTGGCAGTGCTTTGGCCACCCTTGGCAGTGTCCCCCTTGGCCAGCTTCAGCCTGGAAGACGCCAACGCCCTTGCCCACAGCACATGCTTGCCGTGTGTGCGCGACAAGACCGGCTTGGAAGCACCAACGGTTGAAAGTTGTGTGCTGAATTTTACTGCTGTTTCCCTTAGAACCATTAGGTTCAACTTGTAAGGGAGACCCTGGCGGACGAGTTGAAGGGGTGAACTTCTTCACACATGACTTCTACATTGCACCGCGCAGCCCAAGTGATTTTTTTTCCGGAGGTTTTGGGCCTTTCATCAAAGAATGCCACACGTCAGTCAACGCTTTACCTTGTTTCCAGCATCATGTAAACAGTTACAGTGAGTTGGGTAGCCGCGCGGCAGCCCGAACCACTTTCATGTGCGGTGAAAGTGGAAACTTGAAACAATTTGGAATGCGCCCATCAACTTCTCCAAGCAACAGCAAGCGAACCAGCTCTCCATGGGACTCCCCTTGTTGGACAACTTGCAGTAGGTGAATGCCACCAAAATCAATAGATGCGTCACCATGCGTGGTAGTTTTCACCGACATCAAGGCCTTTCACCGACATCAAGGCCTTCAAAAGCCTGGGCGTGGTGCAGACTGTCCTCCGTTGTTTCACCCCGGCGGCCTGCAATGGGATAAAAATCGGATAAATCCACCTCCCTGATTTGGCAGGTTTCACAACCCTGGCGTCACACTGGAGTTTGTTCTTTGGCTTGAGCCAACGCATTTCCAACATTTCACGCGGGGATGAATCCTGACGCGGCAGCAGCGACCGAGTCGGCAGAACACTTCTCTTCGGCAAGTGGTGTTGTTGACGCGCGATGCCTTTCACGACGCCCAGAACGTCCAACACCGTTCTTCCGGACAGCCTCCGAAACCGCTGCCATAAGGGTGGTCGACATCAGACAGGTGTCTGTTTTGGTTGTTGTCTTTTTTCAGGTCGGAATTTTGCTGCGCACCCACGTGGATGACTATCATGGCTACATGCCAGGGCATGACTCTGACCTGCTGCAGGCATAAATTCCCAACACAGTTCATGCACCACACACTACTATTGCAATGGCCACGGCTCAACACAACCATCAGCGATTACACCATGTCTGTCACGATGATCTCCTGCGTTGTCGGTGCTTCCGCTACCCACGGCACACAAAGTATTTTGGCCGATCCGTGTCGGCAACAAGTATTCCACATGCTTGTTTGACTTTTCAGGGGGTAGAGTGCTAGTTTCTAAAACTCTGCCCACTGAGACCGAAACATGCGCGAGAAGAACGGAACACATTGTTTCACGTCAAGTTTGTCAGCTATGCACCAAGTCTCGTGCAAGGTGGATTGGTGCGGCGCAAAAATTTGTTGGCACCGACTTTCCCGCAAGTGGTCCGCCGCGGCGTGAAAAACGTGTAGCATGCCATGACACCACCATTGGAATTCATGACTTGGAACCACCAGGCACCCCGGTCACCGTCGGCGGCGCTTTGGTCCCCGTGCTATGGGTGAAACTTGACGGAGCACTACAGACTGAATGGGTCCTAGCTGTCCAAAGAAGAAGACGGTCATTTTGATCCTGTCGGCTTCGGAGTTTTAAGGGTTTCATGTTTTTGTGGGGATCCTGAAAGGGCCGCATTTCACTTAATACAGTGACAACGAGCCCAGGCGGCGGAGGCTGTTGGACACAACCAAGAACGACAAGGACTCAGAGAACGCTGCGGTGGACAATGCCGTGAGAAAGGGTGTACAGACTCGCTGAATTGGCAGCATGTTTGATGGAGAGGGTTGGCCACAATCAATTGCGACTTGCTAGCTGCCACCCTTCTGCATTCCGGTGCGGCCGGCGCAGTGCCCGGCTATTGGCTATTGAACGACCAGCCACCACGGGCGAATTAACAGACAGCCTTGTCATAGGCAAGCCTGTATTGGCTGGCTTTTCGCTGTTTATTTTTACCTATGGTTCCTGTAGTTTGTGCGCTTTCAATTCCCAGTCCCTTTCGGCTCCGCACGGCTTCGTGCGTAAGTTTTGGGCGATGCCCGGGCAACTTTCTCACCCGTTTGATCGCCTTCAAACCTTCCCGCGGCGTTTCAACCCATATAGACAGTTCTTTCTCTCCTGGTGAGGAGAGGTTCGTGGACGTAGAACGGCCCAGGTTGAGGCTGGACTCGCTTCGCTCACGCTTTGCTTGAGGTCTGAAATCGCTTTGCAGCCCAAAAAAACGCCCCTAAGCGTTCCAAGTTCCACCTGTCCACCGCTTCTTTTTTTGTTTCGAACATTTTTCCTATGTTAGAGGTACTAGGGAATAACAATTGCAAGTGCTGCTGGCGCCGTTGGCAAAAAGATTGCCAGTTCATGTATTGAATACATTAAACAAATGTCCGGTGGAGATGCAACAAGGGATTCTGCGTGCCCAAACTCATCCATTCAGGCCATTTGTTTGGCTTGGGTCGTTGGGGGGGGTGCTTGGGTGCAGAAACGGCAGCCATCCGCGGCATGTGCTCCTTCCGACGCACGGGCTGGTGTGGCCCACCTGAAAGGACACTCCACTCGTGCCGTTGCGCATCAGTCATTCGGCCCTGCGCCCCTGTGCCGCAAGCCTCGTTCACTAATAACATACGGTGGGGAGACGCCGTCCGGGTTCTGCCCGGCCTGGCATCCTTGAGGGTGAAAAACTCGCCCCGCTTGTGCGCCCATGAAACGGATTTGGGTCACCCATTCCTGATGCCAACCGCTACGTGAGTCGGGACACACCCTCCAGGAGATGTTTGTTTTTTTCCATCATTTGCCGTGGCGCCCCCGTTGCTGACATGTTGCATGTATCTTTCGTGGCGCCTACATATATGCATTTGTCGCCTAGCTGCGCACCCTGCTGGAATCAGAGGTCATTTGACCAAACGGCGTGCCTCAGACGAAGCACATCATTGTAGAACCAACCCTCGCTTGAGGCCGGGGATGGCCGCCGAGGATGAATCAAAATTGTACTCTATGGAAACTGTGCCCAACGAAGGTTCCTATTGTGGCTTCGAGATTTGCAGCTTGATGAGCTGCACGCCCCTACTTGGATGCCATTCACCGCTTCGAGCAATGTTTTTTTAGTTGGAGCTGGCCATGGCATCGGTGCTTCGTTGGCAAATGTGCACCTGGTGGGGGCCTTTCGGGCTGTGAGGACCAGTCAGGATGATTCTGGACCGGTGTACAAATCCGGCAGATCCCGTGGTCCATGCAGTCTTTTATGTTTTTTTTTGAGGCGTCTTGGGCCAGTGGTGTTCAGACCGAAGAAACCCTATTGCAGATATAGTCTATTTTGATTTTTTACCGCTCCTTTATCGCTACGAGTCTTGGTGGAAAACCATTTCTATACCGGCGGCTCCCGGATGTGCATGGCCATTTGTATACCGGCGGCCACCGGAGCTCCGACAAGTCACGCGGGCTGGGTGGAAGTCCAGACCCAAAACAGCTTGTAGGGATCCCGTCGAGCAACGACTTCGTAATGAGGGCCTCTGCCGCTGCATTTTGGTGCCTATTTTGCCCGAAACAGTTGACTGTTGGGGCTTTCGGAGAAACTGGCTACACTGACTGGCCGTGCCCCTGAACTCTGTGGCCGGGCTCTGTGGCCGGGTGTTGTCCTCCTGTTGTGCTTCTTTTGTCCTGCTGTTGTCCTCGTGTTGTCCTTCTGTTATCCTTCTGTTGTCTTCTGACCGGGTCTTGTCCTCCTATTGTTTTTCTTGTGGCCGAACAATTAGTGTTGCCGCTGCCTACAAAGATCATTTTCGGGGAAAGCTGGCGCGTACCAAAAATTCGTTTTGGCTTCCGGGTTGGACAAACAATACGTAGGCAGGAGGCCAAATCCAAGCCACGGGCGGGGGGAGGAGGGGTGTTGGATTGGGCAACAAAGTCCCGATGGATTGACCAACAAAGTCCTGAAGGAGGAGGTTGGCTGCGACAGGCTGAGGGGCTGCATTTGTGACGAATGGCTGAGGGTCTGCATGTGAACAAAAAAATTTTTTTCGGGACACCGCGGAGGTGACCGGGAACGGGGGTGAGCCATCATCACACATGCAGCAATGCACGTTCTTGTTGTTTCATTGGTCTCTCTCCCTTGTGTTGATCCTGCTGAAGCGGACCACCTGCCCTCGCATGGGGGTACGGCGAGCCCAGGAGGCCAGAAGGCATTGGACTTCGCAAGATTGCCATGCCGCATGCCTCACAGTTTTTGGTGGATGACCATTGCGGATGGTTTCAAAGTGTGTGCGCCCGTTCTTCTGGGCGTGTCGGCGTTCTGAGTCGCACATAGCAGTCAAACGCGCCGTTACAGTACGGGATAATACGGGCATGGTGCGAAGTTATTTTATGTTATTTTGTCAAACCTTTCGGGCGTCCACCGTTCATTGGAAGATGATGAGCGCGTGTTGTTTCAGTTTTTACTTCGGCTTGCGCAGTCAGACTTTGCCCTGCTGCAGGTGATTGGGTTCTTGTGCTTGCGTCCGATAGCCATCATGTACAAGAGGCACCCTGGGTGCGAACATGAGCACGGAACACGCAACTCACAAAATGACAGGTTTCAACATATTTTCGTTCCATCAGGGTCAGCACTGCTGCTTTGGCTGTACAGGAACGTTCACAACTCCGATACTGCAACATGCAACCCATGCAGCGTTGAAACAGTCAAGTCATGTGTTTGAACCCGCCACGTGCGTGGCATGCGCCCGTGGCTTTCTGACAGCGATGGTGGTGGAGGTGCGGGGACAGAGCATCTGACTGGGCAGGCGGACGTTGGGCATCGCACCTGACGACTGGCCAGGCTTTGGGCTTTGCCAAGTCCGAGCGCCGACGCTTCAATGCCGCAAGCTGAGTGGTGTTCAGGGTTACGGACACGGAGTGGGTGGTGTGCCCATTTTCCGACATCTTTGGTGTGTTGGGGCTTTACAGCGGTTCCCCAGGGGGCATGGGTAAACAAAGAGGGGGAATGAATGACAGTGAACGTTCCAATAGCAGACGGACTGGCCCCCGGACGGGGGCGATCCCAAGAACGACTTGCCTAAGGATGCTGAGTATGTGTTGTCCATGGCGGGTGACACGGAATCGTTGAGCATCGATGTGGCCGCCTCAGACGGACCAAGCAGAGATGTGGCCGCCTCAGACGGTGGTGGAAAGACGTACTGTGTCATAATCTAATGACCTAGACGGAGGTTGAATCAAAACCCCCTACTACCAGAATGGCATCATGTCGCCATGGGGTTATTCCTTCCTCAGCGGTGTCATGTTCTAGTTCCACCGAAACGTGCAACGCGTGCAGGTGGAGCATGCGGAGGCCGGTTGTTTGCGGCTTTCGTTCGTCGGTGTGCGCATGGCACGCGCATGTTTATGGCCGTGTTTTTTGCCCGTCTTCTTTTTGTGGGGTTGTTTAGGACGTGATAGGCTTTATTATTTGATTTATAGGTCTCTTTTGTTGCTGGCACGCTGTAAGGCTGAGAAGTCATGCTGCCCAGCAGGGTGTTTGTGTGGTGGATTTTCCATGATTTTCCTGCGCACTGGCCGTGCGTCGGCTCGATCCAGGGAGTTGAACGTGACATGTGTTCCTGCTGGACCCACCGATGAGGGCCACATTCTTGTGAGCTGCCCCAGGTGCCGCGGTGCCCCCTGCCTCTGCCGGCCATGGCCCGAGCCTCGCGCCTCGAGCCTCGGGAGTCTGCTGAGCGGCCCGACTACGACGAGGAGGCGCGGAAGCTCTTCGCGGCCCTGAACCTGACGCCCGGCGGGGCGGCGAACGACGAGTCCTCGCGCCTGCACAGCTACCGGAACTTGGACATTGTTTGGAGGCATCCGACCACAGGAGCCAGGGGGGTGCAGCCGGGTGGCTTTGGTGGGATGTTGGGTCGATTGCAGCTGCGGCATGGGACGTGTGTTCATGGTTTGGACTTTGTGCGCAGGGCTGGTGGCTGGTGCCAAATTTTTGAACGGGTTTGAAGGCCTGCATTCAAGGGCGCCAGGTCCACCCGATAGAATTATTTATCCGCGGCCGAGTCCGACAGCTACGACATAATACGTTGTGACGGTTTTCTCTACTCCTGGCGTCGTGATGAAAAACAGCAATAACTATAACCATAACAATCATGAATCACAATTGACGAACATAATTCATTGTGATTGTCTCGTAGCCATTGATGGATTGTAGATATGCACACATCATTTTGGCCTTTTACATTTAGGGTCCGTATTTCAGTTTTGAAGATCGTAAGACCGAGAACTAAACCATATGATGAACAGGAGGAAGGGCCTTAAAAAACGCCCAGGGTGCCTTTTTGCATCTCATGTTGTGGGTTGTGGACCTCTTGAAATCTATAGAGCTTAGTACTAACCCCTTTTTCTTGGGCCATGAAGACGACCCTGCCAGGAGCTCAAGTCTTCATTGGGAATGCCACTGCCAGTAGCCAGAAAGGGATTTTGCAGAAGAATCGTATCACGCACATCGTGAATTGCACGAGTGATATGGTCAATGCACTTGAGGGCGATCCCTCCATTGCATATTATCGCTTCGATCTCTACAAGTTCTTTGCCACGCTGGACCTGCGCAGCACCCGGGGTGTCCTGGAATTCTTCTTGCCCGTGTTCCAATGGATCGACGCGGCCGTGAACTCCGGACAGTCGGTGTTAATCCATTGCCTGGCAGGGGCGCACCGTGCCGGCACCACCGGTGTGGCGTACGTCATGCATGCGGCCGACTTGGATCATCAGACGGCCATCGCAGCGTGCAAGCGCTGTAGACCTGTGGTGGACCCCATCGGTGATTTGACCAATCTGCTCGCGCAGTTGGACCTGGCCCGGCAGCAGAGGAAGATACCGGCAAGCCATCCGGCTGCCTGAGAGTGAGATGTTGGAGAGAGCTTCGATTTGCATGCGAAGGGCAAAAGATGGCCTATATACGGCTGTGATGAAGCCAAGAAGAAAACCCGTGCGTGCGTCCTCCGAATGCAGGCCTCGACCATATGTGGGCCATGTGGGACGGGCACGGACCGTTCTTTGGAGTAACTTCGGTTGACCTTTGGTTGGTTGTGGCCGCGACCAGACATCAAACCTCATGGTTTGGATTCCCCAAAGGTCAAAACCAACACGTTGCGTTTGAAGAACTCCTTAAGAATTATACTTCCCATTTCCTCAAGACAACCCCGGTCGGAGGTTCTCCTCCCATCTATCTCCGGGTCCAGGACGGCCGGCGCTGGCGCTCGCGCTTCTCGGCGAGCTTCGTGGAGGAGATCACCCGGAAGACGGGGAACGCCAAGAAGTCCGGGGACTCGGAGGAAGTCGAACGAAAGACGGCCACTCTTTGCCTTTTTAAGTTTGGTTTTAAACATTGACTCTTTCAACATATGTTCTTGGATTTGTTTGACTTGCTGGCCCTCTTGTCGGAACGCCGTGCTCGCTTGGTCTTCCGATTTTTTTCTCTCGCGATTTGGTTCAGGAACGTCATTCTTTTGCAGGTTCTTTTTTGTGAATTGAAGATGTGCAGTCACAAGCGGCGTTACTGCCACTCACTACCAAGCGGGGTTGCAGGCATCGTGAACTCCAACGAGACAGAAGAGAAATCCATAGTACTGCAATCCTTTCAAACGGTGTGGTTCCCCCTCGATTCCAGCATCAAGAAGCCTTCAATGGTGGAGAGGGTTTCAACAGCCAGGGCTGCAGTGCCCTGGCAGCCTGGCAGAACTTCCAAATATATACTACAGTTCTCACAGGGCAGCAGTTGTTCTTCTCGCAGAAACATCCCGTGGTCACTGCAAATGGGGATGCTTCAACGCGTTCCGTGACACCCGAGGTTTGACGTCTTCGTTCGGATGCTCCTTTCGGCTTTGGCGCAAGAGCTTGGGCGGCTCAGTGTTGTTTTTTCCCCGGCAAGCACTCCAAGCAGTCGGCTTCCATGGCACCCGATGTTGGGTTGTATGATGTTATATGTTGGAGGTGTATATCGATTAAATTAAACATGGCCGTTGGAATTAGTGGAGCGGGCGAAAGTGAGTGTTGAGCCATTTCATGCAGCAGGGCTGGAGGCCTAGGTGGTCGAGAAAAGCCCCGCTTGAACTCCTGTGGAGTCGTTTAATGTCGTGAAGGTCAGAGTCCGTCTACTTGGACATCCTCACAGCTCGTGACTCGCTGCAACTAGCTGACGAACTGGCAGTGCAATGCTGGCTGTGACGGTTTCAGTGGCGCGCAAAGCAATTTCCCAATGCAAAACTCCAAAGCAAGACCCCTGTGATAGTGTGCAAGCACCGGTGGCCTCAAACAAAGACCGTTTCATCTGCCGCAGAAGATGTTCAAGAGATGCTTTGCTTGTACCGGTGACTCGAACGCACACATCGAAAGACAATCCGGTTCCACTCCCTGAAGCAGTCATGGAACCGGAGTTCACCACGTGGAAGGGCAGTTCTTCATCATCCTTTCGGGGCCATGCCATCCCATCCACGTTGGCCCATGATCCGTACATCGACTGCGCACGTCACAGCGCAGGGTGCGAGTGATTGTCACCAGCACCAGTGATCCGTGTGAGCTGAAGCAGGAGACCTGGAGATGCTGCGGCGGCATGCCAATCCGCAGGTCTTTCTGGATTCGTTGGGGAGTGTTGCGGGGTTGGGGGGCGGGGAGCTACAAGAATGCAGTAACAATGACAGAGGCTTCATACAATCCAATTACATCCAAATACCAAGTTGCAGGGTTGGGGCTTTTTCATCAGCTCGCACCACTCTTGGTAGTGCTTGCAGCAGGAGAGATGGATTTTGGTACTGTCTCCTCCCCTGCAGGGGCCGCCCACGGCCAATCCAGTGGCAGCTCCCTCGGACAAGAGGCCAGCGTTAGCGCCAGCGTTTGTCAACGCGCCAGCGGCGACAATGATGCAACATGCGTTCGATGGGTTGGTTGAAGCAAGAAGAAGAGCGTTTCCCTCCAACCTGGAGGTGGCGCATGGTGTACTAGGACCCAAAATTGATGGGCAGGTTGCTCCAACCTGAAGCAGATGCAGTTCCTGGTGATTTCTTGTTTCATGATGTTTTTCCGCCAGGTACGTGATCCTCACATACCGTGCTGAGTTCGACAAGGCCCCGCGCGACCGGCTTGCCAAGCACGCGGTTGGCGGAAAACGGCGGGCGACCGCGGCGACGAGGTGCACTATCCACTGCCCTTGCCGCCAGACGAGAGAAGCCAAGAGGAGCTCGGAAGTTCCGGGAAGAAGGGTAATTAACTCACTTGGTGAGTGAGCTTGGTAGAGGGCCACCAGGTGAGTCTTCCGTCTCAAGTCAAGCTGTGCAAATAACACGTATAACACGTATAGATCTCTGACAACATGGAGTTGTTCCACCTTTGTCCTCTTCTGATCCTCGTGGTGGCCACCGCCAGCACGTGGCCCACGGCGCCGTGCTCTGGGCCACGTGCAGGACGTGTTGCGTGGCATGGTGGGGCGGCTGAAGTCGGAGCTGGCGCAGGCGCACGAGACGATTGCCGCGCTGCAGGCGGGGGACGGAGCTTGGCGAGCTCGGTTCTGGGGACGGTCCCGTGAACGAGCGAGGAGAGAAGTGGCGATTTTGTCGAAGTGCCCACTGAGTTGTGAGCTGTTGGGATGGGTCGTTGTGATCCTGAATGCTGGGTTTTCCTTCAAATACCTCCCACTCAAGACTCAGAGTTGAGACAACCCCATGCCGGAGTTCCATTGCGCAATAGGGTGTGCCTGCACCGATCGAGCCAGCCCGGGATGCCCAGCGGAAACTCGTGGGTGTAGCGCCTGAGTCCAGGACACATGGACACACGACACTCGCCAAAAAAGAGCCCGAATTTGCGCTCACCAAGAGAGATGTCTATGCTGAGGACAAGGAGCAGCTACACCTACTCCAAATCCAGAACAAGCAGTTGCGCGGAGCTGAGCAGCTTTCTCAAACCACAGCGCCATCCGCACTCGATCCAACTCTCATGCGAGTAGCGCGAGCGATGCACACGTAACGCCAGTGGTGCGAAGCGTGATCCACCGAGGAGCGAAGGCCTGCAAGCCATGCAGAAGGCGAGAAGCAGAAGCGCTGGAAGAGTTTGGGCCGAGAGAGTTTGGAAGAGGATGTGAACTGGCAACACCCGCATCCCATGCCACTTGCCATTCATTTTCACCGGTTTCTACCAAGCACTTTAGGGGACGATGAGTTGGCCACCGGAGGGATCCCTTCAATCGCCCCTCCGCCGTGGCCAGGAAGCGGAGCAGCTGCGTGCCGAGCTGCGGCTCCGCGGGGCCCAGAACTGCGACGTCGCGGCGACGTCCGACCGTGGCGGTGGGTGGCGACGTCGTAGAACAGCGAAGGGTGAATAGTTGGTGCATGTTGGCGCCAGTTGAACAGCTTTGCAGGCTGAGGTCTAGTTGGAAGATCACGAAAGATCGATCAAGCCATCTCAATCCTGAATCATCCGGAATCCAACTGATGCTTTTGACTGCTGTGAGAGGTATGGACGGAGATGCCATCATTGCAGTTGAAAGCAAGATCTAAGTCACCAGGTCGTCGACTTCTCTTGTCCTTCCCCTCTTTTTGTACTCTTTGATGCTCGCACCACCTGCTGTTCGAGGTCAGGGTCAGCAGAACCATGCCCGTGACGATGAGGCCCCCGGCCGGCCGCCCGCACCTGCGACCCGGTGCGGCGCGCGCACGCCGGAAAAACGGCGCGCGTGGCAGGTGCTGCGGCTCCGCAACGAGCTCACACGTTGCAAGGGAGAGGTCAAAAGCCTCAAGGACGAGCTCAAACAGAGGGAGATCGGAAGCTCAGAGTGGCGGGTGAAGCTTCGTGCGAACTGGTGCGAACGGGTGCGAACGGTTCAAGGAAAGGTGGTATAGGAGTTCTTCATCGTGGAATGCCAGTGGTGCCGGGGTTTAGATGCCATTGATCTTCCGCATCTTCCAACAAGAAGTGGACGATCCAAGCCAAGGCTCGCGCAGAAGCGCGCACGAGAAAAGGAAGCCGCCGAGCTGAGGGCTGAGCGGCAGAAGGCTCGCGGCGTGCTGGGCCACCCATTGTGGTCCGAGAATGTAGGTGCAAGGGGCTGGGCGTTTTGTCGGAGGGCCCAGAGCAAGGTGTTCTGATGGATTCAACTCCAAGAAGTGAGTTCAACGTATGTAATTATGCAGGTTCGAATCAGCTATCCAGTGCCATCAACACGACCCATTGCTCACTGCTACTTATCTGACAAGTAACTTAAGACGAGGAGAGCGAGCTCCAAGGAAACGCTGGCTGTTCCACTTCTCTCCTGTCGCCAGGCTGATCGCTTACAGTCCCAGTTGAAGAAAATGGAGGAGGAGAAGCGGAGCTTGGCCACGCGCCTGCGTGCGGACAGGCGTGCGGTGTGCGCGGTGCACGTTTCTTTCCTTCGTTCCTTCGGTCGGTCCGCTCTGAGAGGGCAACCTACTGTATATATACCCAGCACCCGACTCTACAGGTCACCTGCGACTTTGAAGTCAGCAAAAGCCTCCATTTCGGAGACCTAGATCAAGTCGGGTGCTGGCAAATGCTCAGACTGATTTCCTGGATGAATGAAAACCTCCTCCCGCTTGGATTCGTCAAACCTCTTCAGTACGGGAGGTTTCTAGTAAATAAGAGAGCCTACAATGGAGTCCACATTGAAGCAGCTATTGGTGAAGACGAAGGGGGGTCCAAGACCTTCGTGTTGCGCCCCTAGCCTCGCAGGTCGCGGCCCGCCTCGCGCACACCCAGCGCGGAGAGGACCCGGCCGGTGAGCCGTCCCGCGTCGACCAGGCGGGCGCGCGCGGGCTTGGTGTGGTGGTCGAGAGATTGGAGCTGGAGAGCCTGTAGATCTTGGCCAAGAGTCTGAGGTGTATATCATATATATATATTATATTATATATATACCCTGGGAGTCAAAGACTATAAAAAGAATGGTCTTTAGGGGACCTGAAAGGGAACTTCCTTTACTTCAGCCAGTCAAAATATAGTCTTTGGACTTCTAGGGTATATATATATATATATCCATGACATTCCATGAATCATGACTGAATTCCCTAAAAGTTCTCGGTGAAACCAAGAGGGAGGCCGAGCGGACATGGATCAACTCTCTTGGGACCCCAAGATGGGGTTGCACAAGATCCCATGCAACAATACAATATATTATACCCATACAATATCAATTTTCACCCAGAGAAGGCCTCCAGATTTTACAGTGCTGGACTTTGGCATTTGGACCGATGGCGTTGGGTAGGACCTGGCCCCGCGGCAGAACTCCCACCATGTGAGTCCTCCTCTTGCGGAAGTCCTTCTCCACCCCGCCGCCCTGCAGCGCGCCGCCCTCGTCCGCAGGCCTCCGAGCCGCCCGGCCTCCCGCCCCCCGGCGCGCGCGGACGACAAGCGGCCCTCGAGCCGGGCGTCGTCGCTGGCGTCCTCGCGAGAGCCGGGGGGACCCGGTGTCGTTTGGGCGGGTGTTGGGCGGGTGTTGGTTCAGAGGGTTGGGAGGGTGGCATCTTTGAGAGGTGATTGTTTGGGGAGTTCGAGGACTTTTGGGACCTGGCACCGTCATCATAAAGTATTGTTATCCAAGGGGTGGTACCGCGGGTGAGGGATGGGCATATCTTGGTTGCAACGGCCGCACCGCTCCAGGCGGACGCCCTCGCCCAGCTCCTTCCTTGCGCGGGGGAGGTGTGGAGAGCTGGAGCGGAGGGGATGGGCCCTCACGGTCTTTTCTTTGTGGTTTGGCTCTCTGTCCCCTCGTCATTCTCATCTCAGTCTGCATGTGGCCGTCCATGATCTCTTAGTAATTGTAGGAGTTGAATCTTGTTTGGGACATCCCTGACGCTAAAAACCTCGAGTGAACACATCGGACATCACTGGACGTGGGACATCGAACACAGCGGTTCGCCTTGCTGCGACCGGACGCCAGGCCCGCCAATGGAAGGGCCGCGCCTCTCCGACCGGATGCGCGGAGGCTGGGACCTTCCTGTAAGGGCTTGGCAACAGGGCTTCAGAAGGGAGTCCTCTTGGACTCGGCTTCTAAAGGGTCTTGAGATGGTGTGAGATTGGGTGGTGGGCATGTTCAAGCAGACTTTTGAAGAGCCGAGTCCCTGACCCAAGTTAGTGAGCCGTGAGCCCGCACGTGTTGCTGCAAGTGTTGCTTTTTTTGGGTTTCGCCATGGGAAGTGACAAGTGCGACTGGCGGAAGTTTGAAGAAGCGACGGGGAAGCTTTTGGAGATGATCTATGGCAAAGGCAATGTCACCAAACCAGCTTTCAGGGCCACAGAACGCAAGGACAACGACTTCTGCCAGGAGGGGCATGCGCACCAACCACCAGGCTCCCAGAAATCCAAGACAAGCAATCCAGATTTCATTGTGTCTCTGCCCGATGGCCGCAAAGGGGTTGTCGATGCCAAGTACTATACGAGCTCTCTATTGACTGTGGAGTCAATTGACAAGCTGCTGTCCGATAAGAAGTCGCATGAAGCCGACTTTTGCATTTTGGTGGTGTATAAGAAGGAAGGCTTCAATCCCATTCCTGAAAGCATTGCAAGAACCATCAAGGAACATGGAATCCAGCGTTGGTTCTTCGACGGAAACCCGGCCCTTTGGAACACGATGCAGAAGGAGTCGGTTTTGAACACAAGGCAAAAGGAGTCCGTCAAGAAGGCCTTAAGCCTCCTTGACGCCGGCGACACCTCAGGCAGCTTGCGATTGATAAACAGTGTGATGCGGCAAGTGCCCACGGCCGAAATGCCAGTTCTTGATGGTTCCACAGCCCTTGGAATTCTTAGAGCCCAGCATCTTTGGGATGTCTTGGGACTCGGCCGAAGCAAGACTTTGATGGGATTGGCTACCGGAAAACTGCGTGGCATTGGCACTTCAGGGCTTGCTGCTACATCCAAGGCTTCCGCTTCTGGAATTGCTGCTACATCCAAGGCTTCCGCTTCAGCATTTGCCGGCCTTGGTGCGCCCATCGTGGCTTTGAGCTTCCTGTCTTGCGCGCTGGCTGCTGGTGCCATCGGACTGGCCATTCACCAGGTCAAGGCAGCAGAAGAGAGATTGAACTATGCAAAGAGTGTCATGGAGTTCCTGAAAGAGTCAAGCAGGCATGTGGATCACTTCAAGGATGAGATCAAACGGCTTGAAGAAGATCGTGATAACTGTGCAAAGTTGCTGGCAGATGTCAAGCAGATGGAGGAAGACAATGAAGAAGCTCAGCTCAATGCGCATCTTTGGCTGATGTTGCTCCTGCATGAGAAGATTCCAAGCCTCCTGGGAAAGGTCAAGGATCTTTCCGCGCAAATGTTGGAGAAGGCAAACCACCTGCAGCACCAGAAAGACGCATCGACCAGCAGGGAAGAGTCGGCACAAACGAGTGAGAGAGAGAATGGAGTTGCTTGCGGTCTCTCTGCTGGTGGTGCTGCACTGGGCCTTGTTGCCACAGGCCTATCTGCCATTCCTCCCTTTACACCGTTGCTTGCTGTTACGATTCCTGCCACTGCAGGCCTGGCCATTACTGCAGGCTTGACTGGACATGCATCAGCCCAGGCTGGCGATACCAAGGTCTGGGAGAACCGCAATGGTGGGGAGATCCAAAGTCAAATCAACGAGCTGGAGAGAATCCAGGTGAAGTGTCAGGAGCTGCTGCAGGATGGTCAGAACTTGTCAGATCAAGTTGCGGAACTGATGGGCCAAATGAAAGAGAGGCAGAGTAAGCTGCACCCTGGAAGTCAAAGACCTGTTCACCCTGGAAGTCAAAGACCTGTTCACCCTGGAAGTCAAAGACCTTTTTTAAAGTGGTTGATCTGGTTTTGTAGTGTAAAACCCTTAGAGAAACAATGGTTGTTCGGTAAAGGCTATTAGAACAATGGTGGCTCGACTTCTAGGGTGTAGGCAGGACCGGAGGACCGGAGGACTCCGGCCAATGTGGGCTCAGTGAGCCATGGACGAAGAGAGAGAAACATCAGAGCGGCAGACCTGCAAGCCTCCCTGGGGAATGGAGCACAGGCTGCTCACATCTGCTCACACGTCACGCGCCCCAAAAAAGCACCGAGGCCTGGGCCGAACCCTGCGGCTTCGCCAGGCCGTGGACTGACCAGAGGGAGGACACGGCGGGGCGGACAGGGTGCTTCGCCCGCTTTAGGGTGCTTTGCGGTCAGTTGCGGTGAGTTTGGCAGGGTAGGTCTGAGGAGATGGGCAGTGGATCCTCATTTTGTGAGGTCTAAATTACTTCATGTGTGGGGAAAACCTGCAAGGACGGAGCAATGTACAATGTACCACTATTACGGAGATCTTTTCAGGCACCTCAAAATTTTGGTGCATTGAAATCACAGTAGATGGCTTGGAACCGACAGCAGTTACAGCAGCCGTGGAGGATGGCGCTGGCACTTGGCCCACAAAATGCTCCACGCCCTCCGCCAGGTCGGAACGATGCACGGAGCTGTTCGCCGGGCTCCACGTTGTCGCCCTACAGGCCCGGGGGGGGAGAGCTGCAGGGGAGAGAACCCCCTTGGAGGTGCTTTTGTTGGGTTCCTACTGCTGTGAAAAAAGGCGCCTACAAGGCGCCACACATAAGCATGCTGAAGATGCAGAACCGCAGCCTACAGCATCTAGGACCACAGCCTCTAATAGAGCGATCCTTGTGTGCTCTAAGGACCATTTTCTCTTGGAGCTTTTTGGCAGAGAAAGACATTAGCACCGCCACTGCCGGGCCTCGCAGGCGTCCCGCAGGCCCCAGCCGCAGCCGCGAGCGCACACCGTCGCCGCAGTCGCTGCGGCGGGGGCCGCCCCACGCGGGGACGGCGGGTCGGGAGCTGAGCCGACGTGGAGACCGGAAGGGCACGAAATGCAAAATTTCTGCCTTCCAACTGGCTGTTTAAAAATTATCCAAGCATAGACCCCAAACAGCTTCAAAACGATTCGTTTAGACCAATATTAGTCAAAAATTGATTTCTTGGTCACCCCAAGAGCAAACTGCTTCATCAAGGAATTTTTGTCGGCGTTGACATCGCTATTTGTTCGGCCACACTCCTCTCCAGTAAACCGGACCACAGAGCCCAGCCACAGAGTTCAGGGGCGCGGCGAAGAGGAGGACAAGGCCTGGACACAGAGCCCAGCCACAGAGTTCAGG